CCCTCTGGGACCAAAAGGAACGTGTCTAACACTTCTTCCATGTGACAGCCTTCTATAAATGTAAAGACAGATGTTCAATCCCCCTTCTCTTCTCTAGGCTAAACATACCCAGTGATTTGAACCCAATCTCACTATCTAAAAGGCTCAGTAGTTGAGTAGTTGAGATCAGATAGCATAAAAATGTAGTGGACCCAGTCTGATGGGCTGGGTTGCCTCCAGCAAAGCTCTTTGGTCTTATTCTAATCTCTAGTTCCTCCTCTCCTTCTGGCTTTCCTTTTTCGGCCTCAGTTTTGACTATAAATGAGTTAGTTCAGCTGTATACTGTTCCCTAATGTTAGCTCACCCCCTGGTCCTCTCATCATTCATGACTTGCCAGGTACCTGTCCTGGGTTACCCCCACTGTCTATCTTCTCCGTCCCCTATTCCTCAGCTGCTAGATGGCATTGGAAAGAGTCTTCCAGTGCACCAACTGGGTCCACTGCATATCTATGTGTCTAAACTCAGATGGTGAAGCAGCTAGGTAACCAGGCCTGGAGTCAGGAAGATTTGAGTTCAAACTTAGCCTCAGATACTTACTAGCTGGGTGACCCTGGGCAAGTAAGTCACTTACTGTTTGCCTCAGTTTCCTCATGTGTAAAATGGACTGGAGAAGGAAATGGCAAATCACTCCAGTGTCTTTGCCAAGAAACCCCCAAATGGGGTCATGGAGAGTCAGATATGACTGAAATGACTCAGTAACAACCATTTCAGCTGGAGCTTCATTATTAGACAGCACGCCTCTTTATTCTTCCTCTTAGATTCTCAGTGGAACTCTCCACAGCAGTATTTCCAAGCTTTCTTTGCTCAAGCCCCCTACATCCTACCCCCGGTTTCCTATCTTGGCAAAGGATCGTCCCTATTTTACTTGGAATATTGAGGCTATCCATCATGAGTTCCCTCTTTCTCCCTTACTCTTCAACTCAAAACCCTTCTCTGTGGTCCCTCACTGCATCCTCCTAGATCCCAGGCTCATGAAGAGTTGACCCTTCCCCATCCACTTTGGCCGTTGCTCCCATCGCCTCCTGTCTGCTCAGTCAGAGAAGTGAACAGAAGGTCATTTGAGGAGGGGAAGAACACTAATGACTGGAGAGATTAGGGAAGGCTTTCCAGAGGCAATAACAGCTAAGCCAAGCCTTGAAGGAAGGTCAAAATTCAGTGGCAGAAATGAGAAGAGAATTCATGCGGGGTATGGAGCACAGCTCGTGCAAATGTGTGGAAGTAGGAGATGGAATGCCGGTTATAGGAACAGCTTGTAGTCTTAATTGGATGGAACTTAGAGAATATAAAAAGTGATACCACGAGATAAGGCTGGGAAGGTAAATTGGATCTGGGTTGTGGAAGGCTTTGAACACCAGGCTAGGGAACTTGTATATCATCTTAGAGGCGATGAGGAACCCTTTTTGACTTGTTCCTGTCCCAACTTGTCTCCTAATTTGTTTTGTGATCATGGGCTAGCTACTTCCATTCCCTGGGCCTTGGTTTCCCCATTTGTAAAATGAGCGTATTGGATTAGACTGCTTCCAGAGAACAGGAATCCTGTTATCTTTATCTTCCTATGTTAAATACAGAGTCTCTGCACACCATTGTTTGTTGCCCTTCATTCTCAAAGAGAACAAAAATGACATCACCATGTTGGGGTCAAGGTACAGTGTGTCTGACTCTGGCTGATCAGACCAATATAAGCTTGGAAGGCTCTACCACAGGTTGGGCACAAAGAGTCTGTATGAACATTTGGGGTAGAGATAGCTCTAAATTTGTGCATCTCACGTTTCTCTTGAGCTATTTCAATTCTGCTTTGCTCATAGAGCATAGCGCCTTCTTTAATATGGGCACACCATGCTGGGCTGCCCTGTGCCAGTGTCTCCCACGTCACACAATTGATTTCACAATCCTTCAGAGCTCTAGGTGTGAATGGATGAATGAGTAGAAGAACGAAGGAATGAATGAGTTAGTAAATGAAAGAAAGAGGACGTGACCTCCAAAGTCTCTTCCACCTCTGCCATTTTAGGAGATGGCTGCTTCAGGATGAATAATTAACAAGCTAACTCATTAATTAACTCAGCAATTAACTCATTAATAAGTTTGTAATAGAACTTAGGGGAGAGAATGTACAGAACCACTGGTTTTGGGGTCAGATCTTGCCTCTAATTCCCCAGCGCTGGGTGACCCCGGGCAAATCTCTTACTGCCCAGTACCCCAGGCAACTGTCTCAAGGCCCATTTGCCAAGCAGTTATCAGTCTGCCTTGGGAGAGGAATTTTCTTCATGGGGAGTTTTGTACATCAGTGGTATCAGAGCTCAAATAGAAGTGGAGGCCATTAAACCGTAAGACCTGCTAGCTGTATATTGACCTAGAAAACCACAAGTTCACATTGTCCGTGTTCTTTTGTATTTTTATTTGTTTTATTAAATATTTCATAATTTCCTTGTGATCTGGTTTAGGTCACTCTGAGCAGGTGTGTTGTGACCTTTGCCCTGCACTGATGATATCACAGGTCTAGTCTGAAAAACAAATACATTAAAGTTTAATAAAATCTGTAGAACTCTTGAGAAGTAGACACATGAAGACAGGAGAAAAGGAAAAAGGGTGCTTGTCACGGGGAGAAAAGGTCACTGGCCTCTCTCTCTCTTGTGTCCAGCCAGAGCAGGCATCGCCAGCCAACTTCAGTGAGAAGGCATTTCTAGGCCCAAGCTAAGTGGGACTGGGGCTTCTTCCCAGACTCTGTGCCTAAGCCAGGCCCTTCCCTTTCTGGGAAGTCTTGTCCTGTCTTTGCTGAGGGCCTGGTTTAGTGCCTCTGACCACAGCCTGTGGTGGAAGGAGCACTGGATTCAGAAGTCAGGAGACCAGATCCTCTCCAGCTCCTTAGGTGACTTTGGCCATAGAATCTCAGTTGGAAAGAAACTCAGAGATCCGCTGCTTTCTTGATTCATTGAAGCCTTCTATTTTTAGATTAACAGTCATTTTGGAAACAGCCTTCTTCTGATTCAAGAGGCAGCTAGGTAGCACAGGGCATAGAATGTTAGACTTGGAATCAGGAAGAACTGAGTTCAAATCCTGCCTCAGAGACTTACTAGCTATGTGAGCCTGGGCAAGTCATTTAAAACTTCTCCCAGCCTCAGTTTCCTTAATAATAGGTATAATCATAGCACCTGCTGTAAGTGCTTTGAAAACCTTAAAGTGCTGTTTAACTGTTCACTATTATTATTGCCAATGATAATCCTCCCCCATTGAACACTTATTTTTGACTAAGAAAAACACCTAATACTGTGACTACCGCTGACAATGTATGCACTGTTCTGCTTCAGTAGTCCCCCACCTCTTTGCCATGACAAAAAAGAGCCATTTCATCATCTGTTGTCTGAGATCATCCTTCATTTTTCAGCTGCTCAGAGTTTGACTTCCTTTTTTTCAATCTTTCCATTTTCAGTATTGTAGTCATTGCATCTGCTGCTTACACTACTCTCTATCAGTCATTTCCTACACCACTTCTTCCTTAATCATTTCTCCTCCCTTGGCTCCCAGCACATTCTTTTGTACTGCTTTCCCAACCTGTCTTCCTGCTGCCCCTCAGCTCCCATTGACTCTCCTTCTCTTCTTCCTCCTCTGGAGTAGTGTAGCTCCTACCCACAACCCTGTGCTTGGACCTGCCTTTCTTTTCTCTCCAGAGACAGCTGGTGGGGAAGTGGATAGAGTACTGGGCATGAAGTCAGTTTGAGCTTCACAACAACCCTATGAGGTGCTATTATTTTTCCCATTTCATAGAGGAGGGAAACTGAGGCTCAGAGGAGCTAAGTGGCTTAACCAGTTCACACAAAGTGTCTGAGTTAAAATTAAAATCTATGTTTTCTTGATTCCAAGTGCAATGCTCTTTTTAGTGGCCAAAAATTCTACAAGGGCAGTCAGCCCAAGAGGGATAGAGTTTCAAGAACAAAATTTTGTTGTCCCAAACACAAATGAAGAAGAAAATGGGGAGCTCTACAGAGTCTCATGTGGATGCACAGAAGACTCATGGACCAGTTCAGATGTTAATGCTAGAAGGACTTGGCATGCCAATTTTAACACAACAATTATACTTTTACATTGAAATAAAAATTTTCATCTTATCTCTTTTATTTGTCTCATGGATTAAAAAATGTATTGTGTTGGTTGTCAAAGCTTGATCTTGCAAGGTGTTCTTAAATTTCAGTCTTTCTGGTATGAAAAAGGAGTGTGTATAATAAGATGAAAGTATGAGCAGGTAAATATGGATGAATGCACAAGATTGTGAAGGTCCCGTTAGAATGGTGTCAGGAGACCTAAAGGCCAGAAAGCCAAGAAGAGTTAAGGATAGTGCGTTAGTCAGTCAACAAGTATTTATTGTCTACTATGTGCCAGGCATTGTGCTAAGTGCTGGGGATACAAAGAGAGGTAAACAAAACCAAACCAACTCCATCTGTCCAGGAGCTCACAGGGAAAGAGGCTTACTTCTGTTGGCGATAAGGATTCAAACATGCTTGGGTCATTGAGTGATAATAATGGGTGACAGAAAGCAGAAATACACAATTTTATTTTGCCTCTGCTTTCTCTAAGGAAAGTCCAGCCCCATTCACTTTTCTTCCATAAGACTGAGGGAAAAAAGGGGGGGTATTCCAGTTTTCCTTGAGAAGCTTTCTGGGAGGGGGTCACTTGTATTTTGGGGGAAGCTTCCCTGAGTTGGAGAACAATGGATACTACAAAGCAGCAGATGAAACACAGGAACTCCCCTCATTAGGATGGTGGGGAGGGGGTGCTATGGATGAAATGTGGTATTTGCAGCCAGATAAGTTAGAGTATCGGTTTGTTTCTTCTTGTTTCTCCTTGTTCCCAAGGAAGGTTCAATCGGGAGGTAGTATATTGGGAAATAGCTTCAGTAGAGAAACAAAAGCTATTAGCAAAATACAAACAAATAAATAATAAGCATCTGGGTGTCTCTGTCCTTCCAGGCATCCTGTCTTTGTGGTTCGGCCTCCTGCATCCTGTGCGCCTGCTGCCCCTCCAGCCGCAACTCCACCGTCAGCCGCCTTGCCTTCACCTTCTTACTGTTCCTAGGAGTCCTGGTGTGCATCATTATGCTCAGCCCTGGAGTGGAGAGCCAACTGTACAAGGTCATTGGGGGCAGGGCAGTGGATGGAATGGGCCGGCTCAGAGGAGGATGGTAAAGCTGGAGGGACCTTAAGCAGTTCCTGTGGGGAGCTGGGAAAGCTCCCATTGAAATCCCCCTTTGGGAGCAAAAATAAGGCTCTTTCTCCCCTTTTGTGATCCCCCACTAAAGGAGTGGCCTCAGGGATGGGGGGATAGGAGAGGAAGCTGGAGAGACTTCTGGGGTGTGGGGTCAAGAGAAAGTAAAACCAGAGAGTGTTGGGCTCTGCTGAAGCAGGGTGGGATGTAGCTGAAGCTTGGGAACTTAAGAAGGGGAAGAGAGGGCCATAAAGGAATTTCAGGAAGAGTGCAGCTGCGAGCCCTGATCATGGAATAATCTGCTCTGTGAACATGGGGAATCATAGCTGTTCTGGGGCCATGAGGGGCTTGGATGGGTAGAGAAGAATCAGACCCATCCCAAGAATTTGTGGATGGACGGGGGGCTGTTCCACCTGTTCTGAGACGATGAAGATGGGTGACAGGTGGTACCATTCCGCCTCCTCAGAGCATGCCAAGGAAATGGGGCTGTGCTGGGGGAGAGGGGAGTCATCACTGCCTTGTCCCCACAGCTGCCCTGGGTGTGTGAGGGGGTCCCCTCCACCTTGGGCGTCCCAGGTCACGTGGACTGTGGATCCCTGCTGGGCCATCGTGCTGTCTACCGCATGTGCTTTGCCCTGGCTGCTTTCTTCTTTCTCTTCACCATACTGATGATCTACGTGAAAACCAGCAAGGACCCCCGAGCTGCCATCCAGAATGGGTGAGAGAGAGCAGCCCTCCCCGCTGCCCACACCAATCAATAATGACAATCAATAAACACCTGCTGTATGCGGGCATTGCGCTAAGCACCAGAGTAACAGAGACAAAGAATGAAACAAGGAGCTTATGTCACGTGCATATCTAAACAGGGACAAAATTAACCCGCGGTTGTTTCAGTGGGAGACATTAGCATCAGGGGGAGGGCATTTGGACAAGCCTGATAGAGAAGGTGGCCCTTGAGCTAAGCTTCAAAGGAAGCCAGGGCTTCTCAGAGGCTGAGGTGGGGAGGGAGGGCATCCTGGGTGTGGGGGGGGAGCAATACCAAGGTGCCAAGACAGAAGATAGAGTGTCCTGTGTAAAAAATATAACTAGAAGGGGACAGCTAGGTGGCGCCCTGGAGTCAGGAGGACCTGAGTTCAAATCCAGCCTCAGATGCTTACTAGCTGTGTGACCCTGGGCAAGTCGCTTAACCCTAATTGCCTCCAAAAAAAGAAGAGCTACAAGGCTAGTGCTGTTAGCCTGCAGAGTGTGCAAAGGGGAGTAATATGTATAGTAAGGCCAGAAAAGAAGGTTGGGGAGCCACTGGAGTTGATTAAGTAGGGGAGTCAAGTGGTCAGACCTGCACTTTAGGAAAGTATGTGGAGGCTGGATTGGTGATGAGGAAGACTGGAGCTGGGAGAGGAAATCAAAAGATTTCAATAGCAGAGTGGTACAATGGGAGGCGTGTGTAGAGAGGAAAGAACTCTGGCTCCAAAGTCAAAAGACGGGTTCCAATTCCACCTCTGATGTTTATTACACAAGTTTCCCTGGGCCTCAGTTTCTTTCTCTGTAAAATGGGGGAATTAGAAAAGATGTGTTCTAAGGTCCCTTATATAGTTCAAGATTTATGATCTCATGCTGAGGCTCTGAACTAAGGGGGTCACTGTGTGAGTAGAGTTTTTCCTTCCAACCCTGAGCTCAAGATTGATTGTACGGATAAAGTGCCCATCCCCATCAACCAGTCAAGGCTTCGCCATTTCCCCTCTCCATTCTGGTCATTAATTCATTTAATAAATATTATCTGATTGTGCTTATATAACCTATATCAAATTACTTACCATCTTAGGGAAGAGGGAGGAAAGGGAGGGAGGGAGAAAATTTGGAACTCAAAATTTTATAAAAAGAATGTTAAAAAAGAAAATATTTTTTAAAAATAAAGTGTACAAAGATGAAAATATATATATATTTATATATATATAAAATATATATATTATATATATATATTATATCTATCTATCTATATATATATATATATAATCTGAGGCCCACTAGACACAAGGCTTTGTGTTAGGGAGGCAGCTACCCACTTGGGGAACTCACAGCCTAATAAGGAGAAGAAAAAATAGATGCACATAATTGCAGCTCAGGATAATGGCAAGTGTCATGTAATGGGGAACTCATTACCACCTCCTGAGGCAGGCCATTTTGGAAAATTCTCATTGTTAGGAAGCTTTTCCTTGGGGAGCCAAAATTTACCCCTACCATTTCACACACCTCCCAAAACCAGACCAAGCAAGTCCCACCCCTCTTGTACTTGAAAGTCCTTTAGCTGCGATGTTCTCCCACCATCATCATCTCAGCTGCAGGTTAAACATCCCCAGTTCCATCAACCAATCCTCATGTGGCATGGCTTCCAGTTCATTTCCCTAAGTTGGCTGCCTTCTTCTAGATACACCGTAGATTGTCAATGTCCTCCCCAAAATGTGACACCAGACGTGCATGCAGTCCTCTAGAGGGGGCCTGCTCAGGTTAGCGGTGCCTGGACTGTGCCTCCCACATTACAGACATTTAACTTCATAGAATGGAGCCTAAGATTGCGCTGCCTTTTTTGGCCAGCATATCGCACAGTTGACACACATTGACTTTGTCTTCCAAATCCACAAAAACCTCCAGGTCTTACTCCCACCCTCTCTCTGTTCATTCTTCTCTCCTTCTCTCTATCCATTCCTTCCTCTTTCCCTCCATTCATTCCTCCCTCCACTCTATTCCTTTTTCTCTTCTGTTTTTCTTTTCTTCCTTCTTTTCTTGCTCCCTTCTTTCCTTCCTCCCTCCATCCCTTCTTCTCTTCCTTCTTTCCTCACTCTGTGGTATTGAACATTTTAAGTTTTTGAATAAAAAATTTATTCAAATTGATATGAAAAGCAGGTTCCTCCCTCTACCCTCCACATTCAGAATTCTCTGCGATGGAAAATCAGGCCAAGATGGAGTAATTCTCCAACTCAGGGTGATGACCAACAGAGGGGCTTGCCCAGGGGATGCTGGGGAAAGGAAGGGAAGAGAGGAGAGGGGAAGAGGAGGGGAAGAAGCATTTATTAAGCACTTACTGTATGCTACCAGGCACTTCACTAAGTGCTTTACAAAGATCTTGTTCAATCAAGCTAATCTCAATTGAGAAAGGATTGCCTTCCCCAGGGATGAGGTTGGGCTACGTTAAACAGTGAGGCCAATCAGCCAGGCAGCTGCAGAGCAGCTAAGGGAGGCCGCTTTTTCCAGAGAAGTTGACTGAGGCACCACCGAGCCTCATGATCAGCCTCCCCCAGGTCTTTTTCACTTATCTTGCTGCCACCCCTACTCTCACCCTCTACTGATGCAGCTGATTTTTTTGAATCCAAGGGCAGGTAGGAATTTTCTTTTATTTCTCTTAGGTTTCATCTTGGTACATTCAGCCCATTGCTTTAGCCTGTTCGTAGTTTGGGATCTTTATTCCTCCCCCATACTAGCCATCCCTCTTTCTTATCTTTGGATTTGATAAATATGCCATTTTTGCCTTCATCCAAGTGATTTCTAAAAATGTCAAAGAGAAAAGGGCCAAGCACAGATCCTTGGGGTCCTACACTAGAGGCTTCCCCTTGGGTTGATATTTGTCCTTGAATTATCCCTCCTTTTGTGTAGACATTCAGCCAGCTCTGAAGCCACTTAATAAGGTCACCCAACCCTCATCTTTCCATCTTATGCACAAAGGTATCATGAGGTCTGGATGCTAGATTTCTTACCATGCCTGGGCCCATTAAGCTGACATCTTCTCTCCTTTCCCCAGGTTTTGGTTTTTTAAGTTCCTGATTCTTCTGGGCATCACTGTGGGTGCCTTCTATATCCCAGATGGCTCCTTCACCAACGGTAGGTGGCAGGGAGGGGCAAGTCCAGCTCTGCTGCTTATCAGTCACCTTCAGGCCAGGTCCATTTGTCTTCTGTACTCTTTCCTCCCCACCTCCCTGATGGTGGGTGCCAAGGAGGGACACAGCCCTGAATACCAGTTTGGGGATAGTTCTTCTGATCTTTGCTCACTGAGCCCCAAATACCCATATCCACTTGGCTCATCCCAGACCTCTCACCTGCTGCTCTTTAGGCTGATGGTGATACTCCAGAGGCCCAAGTGTCTCCTGATTGTGGCACTAACCCTGAAGTAATGAACCAGCCAGCTTGACTGGGGTGGAGGGCACACTTATATCTACACATAGCATAGTGTGCCTGTCTGAGACGTGTGTGTGTGTGTGTGTGTGTGTGTGTGTGTGTGTGTGT